TGCGGAACACCACTTGTCACCGGTCTCCTGTTAGGAAAGCATATCCTCTGGAGGAAAGAAGATGGCATGCCCATCACACGCTTCTGGTTATGTATTGTGGGGAATAAGATACTCATCACCTGCAAGAGGTATTTATTTGTCCTTAGGAAGATGTTTATCACAAACCAAATTATTTTCTGTATATTGAAGGTAGGCATACTGCTAGGTAGGCATACTGCTTATGTCTGCATTATATTTTTCAGTAACTCTGACATCCATGACAAAGATATTTGAGGGGCCTGTTTGGCCCTTATCAAGAAATAGGATGAAAAATTCTGCTGCTATGCATCATAAAAATGTGGGGCACAGAAATAAGAATATTGCTACATTGTTAGGATGTAATGTTATCTCATTTGAGAATATTTGAGAACTTTAGAGTTGTTCCCAACTGCTGTTGTATCTTTTAGTTTTAAAAGCAAGACAAACCTTATTTGTTCTGCTTTAATCGGTATCTGCTATAATGCAGCTACTGCCCAATGTCTTATTTATGAATGTCAAAACAGCTCTGTGTACATTGATTCCAGTTTGTGCTCTCAAATAGGAATAGGAAAATGATTATAAGAATAATTTAAATAAGATAGTCCAATAATTCAGTGTAGTTAGTTCACTTTTTTGTCTTTGTTTTCTAGGAACCTGAAGATGAAGTGTTCCTTGCTATTGCTAAAGCAATGGAGGAAATGGTGGAGGATCATATAGAATGTTATTGGCTTGTCAGTTGCTTTGTGAATCAGCTAAACAGCAAGCACAAAGATTCATTACAACAATTGGTAAGAAAAAAATACTTTTATTTTTTTGTGAGGAGAGCTATGAAGGAGAAAAGAGGAAGTAATGGAAAGAATTAATATATGGAGACAAGTGGAGCGTCAGAGATGACATGCTTGGATTCTGTTCCAGCAACTGTTTTGAGAAAACGTGAAGAGTGCTTTTTGTATTGTGGTCCTGCTGTCCTGTAGGACACTTTGTCTAACATAACATTAGAAATTGTTTTTGTTTACTACATGGTAGTTTTCAGTTACATCTTATTTTCTTTTTAGGTTAGCTAAAGCTTACATTGTATCTAGTTGAGTTATATTTCTTACAAATTGGTCACTTAAGAATTTTCTTTATTTTGAACAATTAAAGATGTCACAAAGTTAAGAACATCTTGATGTGTGTCTGCTACTTTTTAGGCTGCATCTCTGGCATCCATGTGTTGCTGGTGATAGACAAAGCACAATTGTTTTGCTTTATAAATGGATCCAGGGTACTGTGTTTTCAGAAAAACAGTATGTTGCAAATTAAGTTATAATAAAAAGTGGAATAGAGTTCTTTTGGCACTGGTCATTTAAGTGCTCTCATAGAATATTAATCTTGAATTTCTGTCTTACTGGTTTATCAAATTAAAATTTGATTGTAAAGAAAATGCATGCTTGTAAAAATTTGCTTCATTATACAAAAGTTTTTGTAATTCTTCAAATAGTCTTAACAGATAAGAAACCTTTCAGTTGACAATATCCACTGAGATGAAAGTGTCTGAGTACCTGGGCACTAGCAATCACTGAATGAAATTTGTTGCAGAAAATTATGCATCTTCTTTGTTATTCTTTTGGAACTTAGAAATACTTTTTAAACCTACCACCTGTTACTGGAAGTTCTAAATTCAATTTTACCAGTTTCCATAGTTCCTTTCAAAGGACAGAGGACATTTTTGAGGCAGGTATATGCTCTTACTACATAGGGAGTACCAAGTGTCTCCCTCCCTAAGTTTTTGTTTTAATACGAACATTGTACCAAGACTCTGTATGTTAAAATATGGACAAAGGAAGTGCTTTTTGTCCTTTGACAGCTGAAGTCATTAGCTGTTTTTCTAATTATGACAAAAACCATAAAGGCACTCCTGAATTTATGAACATGTATGTTGTGTTACATTAGAGTTTAAACAAAATGAGAATTATTCATTTTTCAACTCTATCTTACATTCTGTTGGCTTTTCTAAATACTGTGGACTTTCAAACAAGAAATCAATGTCCAGCTTTTAATATATTGCACAGGGATTTACTCTCAGAATTGATTTTCTGGGTTTTGCTGCATTGTGTATAGATCTTTTTTTTTTTTCCTGGTGTGCACTAAGGCGATTAGGTTTGAGGTGAATGAAACTCAATTTTACTTGTGAAGGTAGCGGTAATTAGTGCAGGTTTAATCTCTGCATTGCCTTAAGCTCTCAAACACCTCCTTGCATGAGGGAATAGTGCATATTTTGGAAGTTCTGCTGGTGGTCAGCAGTTTAAGGAACCTGGAGTTGTTTGTTTATTAAAGTACTTAATTAGCCAACTGCAAAAATCAACGACACTTTATTTTGGAACATCATGTGTTTAGTTAAAATAATGTAAATTCATTATTTTAACGTGCTTTTAAAATTATTTTTTAAGACATTTCTTGTGTTACAGTGTGTATTAACTATGGAGGGTACTCTGATGTGAGTTATTTAAAATTTTCCGATTCCTTTCTCAGCCAAAAATTCTGGAGCAGTATTTGAACATTGAAGATAACAGACTCCTGATGCATCTGAAAGCATGTGCTGCAATGAGCAAACTCCCTTACGATCTTTGGTTTAAAAAGTGTTTTGCAGGCTGTTTACCTGAGTCCAGTTTACAGAGGCAAGTTCTCTTTTTTTCTTTCTGTTTGTAATTACATAGTAATTTTAGCTTTTTGTCATCGCTAGCAGGCAAAGAGCTCTCCTTACTTTATCTGTAAGATTATGGAGTTAACTTCACTGTTGACTTGGAAATGATAAAATTGGATTTGATTCCACTTGTTACTGATGCAAGATAATCTCTGTGTGATTGTTCCTTGCACTGAAATTAAAAAAGGATAGAGTTAAATATAGCGACTGATTCTGTTAGACACTTAATGCCTCTGAGGAACTGAAACTCTAAATCCCCTCTTAGTGATAGATAGCGGAATGATAGTCAGTTTTCAGGCTTTTTAACAAAAATCCTTGCTTAGGGAGTGATTATGATACTGTATTATCATTAGATGAAAAAGATTTAGGGCAGGTAGAGTTTTACAAAGTTAATGAAATAATGCATTTTGTCAGGTTTTTACAGCTGTCAATAGGCTCTCTAGCTTTTAAAAGGGGAAAATTCTTGTGCATGACACTTCACTAAAGGACTTTAGAAATGAAGCTTGTGTGATTTCTCTAATTCTGATGTCTGAGAACTCATGGAGAGCGGAAAATTCAAGCTGGATGTAAAGAAGCATGTCCTTTCTGCATTACAAGAGTTGCTAATAGTTGAGAAGGAGATGACACAATTAAACAATGGGTTTGTTTTCAGCCACCTTAAAACTTTGAGAAATAACAAGGTGCAGGGGAAGTTTTACTCCAGCACCTCCAGGACTTCAGTGCCTAGAACAGTGTGGAAACGGAGAGCTTTGTAAAATGCTCTGGAGAAAATGCTTTACAGTAGTAAAGATGCTCATAATCTGAATAGTGAATGCAGTCTTGCTTGCTTATTTGGGACTTCACATTTCATGAAGGAATGTGGGGAACAGCTGTTTTTAAAAATGTTTTATTTGCTCTTATGAAAATAAAGGGGTTTTAGGAAACAAGTTATAAGATTAGAAATCATGCTCTCCAGTCTTGCAGTGCAGTGGTCTTTGAGGTTGTGTATGTTCTACTGCTGGCAAGGAATATGTCTGAGAAAACAATTTTTTGAACCCAAAATGGAAAGATTTAGTGGTAGATCTTTAAGTGTTATGCTGTGTACAGCTTGGTAATTGTTACTTGGCTGTTACTTGTTCTTCTCATCAAGCACCCATAAGGCTCCACAATAGTAATCTCTGTGTAGTGGTTGTGCGTGATTGTGGTGGTTAAATGCTTTTACTACTTTTATGGCTACAGAAATTACGTAAGTGTGTACAAAATGTTTGTTACGTCCTTAAAAGTGGTTGAACGTGTATGGTTTGCCTGTGTCTCTATTTCATATTTGCATTTCTAGGTTACTTTTAGCAGATAACTACTGACCTTGTTTCAGAGGTGCTTTCTCTGTGTGAAACTTAATGTCATTTGTTAGCAGAAGTGACTGCTTTACCTGGGACTTGCCAGTCTCTTCAGGCCGCCTTTTCTGTAGGCTTCTGTGATCTGAAATAGCCTTTGCAAGCTACTGCATTAGGAACCTCTTTGGATGTTTTCTAGGAGTTATTTTTATTTAGTACCTATGTGATTTAATTTTGCTAGTAGGTCTTATGGCTGAAAACTAGAGCTGAAAGAGGAATTTGCATCAGAGGAGTTTTGCTATTGGAAGATTCAGGGTTTTTTTTAAATTTCTGTTGAAAATCGAACATTTTATGGAGCTGTGTCATCTTGATGGTGTAAAAGAAAAAATCTAGATGAGGAATTTTGATTTTCATATTTCATCTTGTTAGAATATTTAATTTCAAACTTCTAACGTTTTAATCTGTTAATTTATATAGACTATTTTATCTGGTTAATGTGCTGTTTAGCATTTTTATATACAGTTTTACCTTACTGAAATAGAATATTTTTATGACCTGAAGTTTTTAAAGTACTTTTTTTTTTTGCATGGAAAAGGTCGAAATACTGGCTTTTTGTATCTCTCTGGAGTAAAACCAAATTTCAGTGTTGGTACTTCTGATGGTACAGCAATCCCTTTTCCTAACAGTTCTTGTGGGAACATGATAAAAGTGTACTTCTTCTTGCCAGTTTAGGTTTCTGAATTATTCAGTTATAGTCATAATGGCCTCATTTGCTAAGGAAATAACATACTTCATGGGTAGCATGTGACAGATGAACTTAATTAATGCTTGGAGATTCAGTTTGGATTAGAATCTAGAAGCCTGAATACTTATCTGAAATGTATCCAAATGGCAGTGTGGGAACGGCTGAGAACTGAAAACAGGTCTCCAGTTCTCCTGTGAGCTTTACTTACTCTTCTGTCAAGTGAGAGCTGACCTGAGCTCAGTCTTTTATGATTTAATTTAACTTATGAGTTAATACTGTATTTCTTAGAGAGGCTGCTTGCTTTCTGTAAACTGTACTCTTCTCTGCTGAGCAGTGAAATCTAAATTTCATGGTTTTTTTTTTTTTTTTTTATCTCTAAGGCGTATAAGATTGGTATATGCTATGCGGAAATTGAATCTAATAATAGTGAGATGAAGTTGCATAATACAAGCTTTACTCCTGACAGGCACCGCCATTCAGTATAAATACTGCTTTGTAGCACACTTCTAGTTATACCATAGGTAAAATTTATGCATCAGTTTAAACGGCCTTGGAAAATGTATACAGACAGGTTTCACGTAGAAACTTTTCCTTTGAGCTTATTCAGTGTCTTTGCTTGCCCTAATTCACTTGACAGGTGACAAGCTTCTTAAACTTCTTCAAGCTGCCACACAGGTGAAAGAGAGGCACAGACTCGCCATTTCGAAGGCCACTGTTTCCTCAGGGCTCGGTATCCCACCTGGAATACAGACAGGTTGTTTCCTGGAGCATGAACCAGCCTGTAGCACAGGCTCAGGAGGGCCAGAAAGGCTTAGTTGTCTCTGAAACAGGGAGAGAACTGTGTCACACCTTTGTTTTTATACTCACCATTGCCCTATTTGCTCAATTTCTGCAACACCGTATCTGGTCATCTGTTCAGTACGCCCCATACATGGAGAGCTTTCAGACGGCGTGTGGGCCCTCAGCTGGAGAGCCCTGTTGTTAAAAGCACCGTGTCCTGCCGGTGGCTTCAGCTCTACAGGCAAAATGGCACTTTGGCTGCCGGTTTATTCCAGTGGTGTCATCCCAGATGATCCAGCTACAACAGAAGTAGTGCAGCTTTGCAGATATAATTGTGAATAAGACGTTTTTTTTATGGCCTAATGTTGCCAGTCACGTATCATGCCCCTGACTGACATTGTTTGTATTCTGCACTGAAGACTTGGCATTGGCAGGACTGCAGTAGCGGATGGGCTGGTGTTATTAGCCTCTGGTAACTTGTTTGTGGTGAAATATTTGGTAGTTCTGGAATCTTGTGACTGCCTTTCAAACTGGCAGTACCTTGTATAAATGTATAGATGGCTTCTGTAGTTTTACATCTGTGATCTCTGTTGTAAATATGCAAGTCATTTGTTAGTAGAAAAAACAGAAGTACGAAAAATGTGTTAAATTTACTATGGAGTGGGAGGGCATAAGAATGTGCATGTGGGCTACTACTATAGAGAAACTTAAGTGGGTTTGCCTTTGTCTAAGTGACTGAGCTGCTTCCCAGCTCTGGAAACAGGTGGGCACAAGATCATGACCTGACACAAGGATGAGATTTGTGTGAGCCTCATCATGTCCTTCCATGCCCAGTTACCATTGGAAGGACACCCAGAAGTGCAGGCAGAGCAGCAAGCGTTCTCTTCAGATATCTCTGACCTGGATGACGGGAGGACCAGAACCAGGCAATAAGATCGAGTGTGCTTACCCTGTAGCCTAGGGGGAAAAAGCTGTGAGATTAGTGATAGTATTTCAGAAGAAGAGAGAGCAACAATGCTGTGATGCTTTTTGTATGCTGCTTCACTGCAGTGGTTGAGGAACCTAAGAAACTACCTTGAGAATTTCACACACGTGCACATACAAGAGTAAGTCATACCGTGTCAATGGAAAAAGCTCAGAGAAAAGTAAATAGCTTCATTTCCATAATCCTTGGCATGCTCTTTACCTTCATATCTTCCTCTTTCTTTTTATTTTCCCTTGTGGTTGTTACTACTATTTCGCTGTTTGAGAAATACCTATAAGAGTGCTCCTGTGGTTAATTGAATACTGTTACATTTCACAGAGGATGATAGTCACAAAAAACATAATGAATTCAGTGTGTACTTTCTTTTTTAGTATTCCTGAGTAGGGCTATAGGCACAGTTGCATGATACTTCCATTAGAATTTTCCCATCCCTGGGAGTATCAAAAAATGGGTAAAAAGTTGCAATCTCTGACAGTATACTTGGTCTGAAGTGTTTGCTGTTATTTCAAAAATGAAAGTAGAATACTTATTATTAACAGAGGTACAATGTATAAAGGCTGCTATATGAGAACAGAATCATCAAAACACATTTCCTCGAAACTGCTGTGGGTTTTCTCCGTTCCAAGTAAATACTTTTCTGACACAGTTTATATTGCTATTCCTGGCTCTCCTGGTATAGACAAGGTGCTGACTGCTGGTCTGTTTATCACAGTGTCACACAGTCATTCCACTGTTACTGTTGCTGTTGGAGTTACATTGAGAGTAAAAATAACTGGAAGTGTTGAGGGGAAACATACCACAGCAGACACAGCTGGTTAGTGCTGACATCTCATCCACTTTGCTCTGCACACTTTCAAAATTGTTAGGCACTGGTGATTTAGATACTGCACCTGGTTTGCCATTGTTCTGGAATCAGACTAAATAATGCAGGAAAACATTAGAGTGTTTTCTGAGCATGAAGTGTAACGTACTTTTGTGTAATTATGGAGACTGAAGTCAGGAGACTTGGAAGCAAAATAATGAAAGAAGGCTGGTATTTTATATTAGGGTTAGTAATTTGTATTCAAATTAACCCGAGCTTTAATATGAACTTTAAAAATTCTTTCCTGTTTTTTGAGGTCTGCTGTTCTCTGTATTGTCATTCATAATTACAGTTCTGATGCCCATGAAACACATGGGGAGCTGTTCTTGGGTTCTAAAGAGATACATTTCTAAAGGAAAATGTATTAGAAGTTAACAGGGATGACCTGTGTGTGGAGCAAGAATGTGATCTCAGTTTTTTCATAGTCTTGCTTAATGCTTCTACATCTGACTTCAACATCAGTGCAATGTTTACAAGTGAACACTTGTCCTGGGATGCTTGAACCACAAAAGAAGCAGTAAAATTTGAATCCTGGATTATTTATTGTTCCTGCCCATATGGGAATTATATTCATTTTTTTTAAACATAGTGAAACATGGAGTTAAAACTAAATTGCAAAGGGAAAGGAAATTGGCAGTGCCTTTTTTCCCATCTGACCATGGGTTTCTTTCATAGAATCACAGAATGGTTTGGGTTGGAAGGGACCTTAGAGATCATTGAGTTCCAACCCCCTGCCATGGGCAGGGACACCTCCCACTAGCCCAGGTTGCTCAAAGCCTCATCCAGCCTGGCCTTGAGCCCCTCCAGGGATGGGGCATCCACAGCTTCTCTGGGCAACCTGTTCCAGTGTCTCACCGCCTTTGCAGTAAAAAGTTTTTTTCTAATATCTAATCTAAATCTACCCTCTTTCAGCTTATACCCATTACCCCTCGTCCTATCACTACACTCCCTGATAAAGAGTCCCTCCCCATCTCTCCTGTAGCCCCCTTCAGGTACTGGAAGGCTGCAATAAGGTCTCCCCACAGCCTTCTCCTCTCTAGGCTGAACAACCCCATCTCTCTCAGCCTGGTTGTTTCCTTCTTTTGCAAGTATAGTCCTGAGGACTTTACATATGCTTTTCCTCATGTCTTCATTATAAGGTAAATTATAGTGTAATTTTTTGGATGAATGGAGAGGTTGTGAAAATAGTGTCAAAAGAGTTATGGGAATAGAAAGTTAAGTAACTGACAAAGAATTGACTTGAATCACAGTGAAAAAAAAAAAAAAAAAAAAGCTCTATGTAACAGCAGCAGCCTATTCCACATAAGGAGTTATTCACAAAGAGCTTTTCACAAAGAATCACCGAAAGGTTGAGGTTGGCAGGGACCTGGTCCCACCAATCCCTCTGCTCAATCTGCTCAAGCAGGGTCCCCTAGAGCAAAGCTGCCCTGGACCCTGTCCATGTGACTTTTGAATGTCTCCAAGGAGGGAGATTCCACCACCTTTCTGGGCAACCTGTGCTCAGTCCCCCTCACAGTGAAAAAGTGTTTCCTGGTGTTGAGGCAATACCCTTGTGTTTCAGATTGTGCCCGTTGCCTCGGGTCCTGTCACCAGGCACCACTGAAAAGAGCCTGGCTCAGTCCTTTTTGCACCCTCCCTTCAGGTATTTATATGCGTTCATGAAATCCCCCTTGAGCTTTTTCTTCTTCAGGCTGAACAGCCCCAGCTCTCTCAGCCATTCCTCATTGAAGAGATGCTCCAGTCCCTTCATCATCTTCATGGCTTTCTGTTGGACTCTCACTTCTTAACCCTTTTTTGTTGAAATGCGTGATACCTACTTGTCAGTTCAGCTGTCAGAGTTCACATTATGCCTGTGTTGTGTTCTCCTGGCACTCCAGGCTGAAGGGCTAGTTCTTCTGAGAGAGAAGGTCATAGAAAAATTGAGTTTGTCTTTGGAAGAAGCACCCCTGTAGATCCGAGTTTATAGGTGGGCCGCAGAAGATGTTTTCCAGTTAGTGTATTTCAGAGATTACGGAGGATAGTATGCGATCTTTGTCCTCCATGTTCTTATTTGGAAGGAGAAACAGTTTTAACAAGTTCCCAGAAGGAGCAAGAACAGTAACCCTCAGAGTCTTTCTGACACAGCTCTTAAAATTCAAGAACTAAAAATAATGCAAGCCCATAAAAGCTGCCATCTGACAGATGGTTTCACACTGGTTTTGGATAATCTTTCATCCCGAGTCTGTTGAGTTGGGCCGGAGATAGAGCTGCTGGCTGAAGAATGATTTCAGATTGTTGCAGGCTGGTTTGGTGGTGTGGGTCCCTTTTAATATTCATAGAAGTTCTTTTGTAAAGTACCTGTAGCCTTTGGAGGCCTGCCCTTCAGGTTTTTGTTAGAACTGTTCAGGTACAGTTTCATACAAGTCGTAGCAGTGCTTAGGTGATTCTGAGAGAGCGTGTGCACAGTGGGATGGATTGGAAGACTTAATACTTGTGTCTAATTTAAACACCATGGATTATATTCTGCTGGTATATTTGTATCTGATACAGCAATGACCTGGAATATTTAGCTTCTTGAGATATACTAGTTTGGAATTACATCCCTTTGAATTTTCAGCTACTTGACTGTTTGAAGAGTATCTTTATTAGGCATGCTAATAAAGTTCGTTTCCTTTTTTGCACTACGAAATATTCTTACCTTTACCATACACTGTAGAATAGTTGTCACAGTTCAGGCTGTTAAACCAAGATTTGATTGTTGTATTTGAGATTGTAAACGGTTCAATTTCTAAACAAAAACAAAACATATCAATATATTACTGCTTGCCATCACTCTTCTCTGTACAGATTTAGGAATTAATAAAATGTCCTGAATAATTCAATGCATTGCTGTTATTCAGAAAAATAATCTGGAAAAAGGTGATTGTACAAAGACTGTTCTAGCAGATAAATAAGCAGATAAGCACTACAATAATGCGTAGTGATTCCTTTTCATTTTTTTGTAGAGTTTGGGACAAAGTTATTAGCGGGTCCTGCAAGATTCTTGTTTTTGTTGCTGTGGAGATATTATTAACCTTTAAAATGAAGATAATAGCACTGAATACTGCAGAAAAGATCACACAGTTTTTGGAAAATGTAAGTACTCTATTGTGCTTTGCATTACCTTTTATGGATTATGACAGTGTGTTTCAGCCTTAAAGTCATTTGCCTGTTGCAAATGTACCATAAGATACTATTACATTACTTACTGAGAATAGTGTAGTAGTACCACATTGAAGAGAGAATGCAGAGGGATGAGAATAACAATTTTTTTCTATCAGAAGGTAAGGCTTTCATAGAATTAAATTATTTTTAGACTTTGGGGAATGTGTTATCTATGTTTGTACAGATTTTACTATGTTCCTTGTGATACTAGAGGGTTTTTCTGTGAAAGTAAGTGCAGAGGTTAAGTTAATTTTCCTGGAAGCTCTTTACAGGGTTGGTTTCTGGCACCTTTTTTGCTCCTTGCCCGAGTGAGTCTCTAGACTGTTTTCTGTTCATGTAAGCATGGGATCATGAACCTGACCCTGAACTTTCCTTCTGTGCCTAGTAACGAGCATCACAGCAGGGTTGTAGGATCCCAGTGTAGCCTAGGTGGGTTAGATTAGATACAGTTGTGGCCATCGATGGCCAGTATGAGCTCTGCCTGATGTTGGGTTAGGGATGTGTGAAGTGTGAGATGCCTGTGTGGTCATCTTACTGTTTTGTAAATAAAAGCTTTTTGTCCAAAACCTGGCGGTAATACAGTGCATGTAGGACTGAGGGATGGTGGGATGGTAGGGCGGGGAGATGGGATTCTAGTTCTACTTTTTTATAAAGAGATAAAACCTGAACACGAAATTCAAAAGCTTTATTTGAAACAAAACAGTCCAAATAAAGTACTCTGACAAGGCATCTTGCCCTGATCTTTTGTAGATTCCTCAAGATAACACTGACGCTATTGTCAGCAAAGCTGTTGATCTGTGGCGCACACACTGTGGGACTCCAGCACACTCAGTCTGAGAACTTTCTTCGCTTATGACAGCTTGGGGAAAAAAAAGACATTTGAAAAGACATTTTACTGCTCTTCCTCCATCCTAGTGTGATGTTCTTCATTACCTCGTCTATGTAAAGATGCTATTTAAGCAGCTAATTGCATAGTGATCAATATGTAAATATTTTTCAATAAATAGAGATGGAAGGAAGATACATTGTGGTGTGATCATGTCCAGAGTGTTTCTTGGACAGCCAGCAGCTTCTGATTGCACAGTGCGCTCTCTGGCTTTTGGGAAGTAAATCTAAGACTTGAAGCAAGGTAAATTAATTTACTTGTAATTTAAAAAATGTTTTTGTATCCCAGCTTATAACTAGTTACTACTTGGAGGTGGTTTTAAGGTGAATTTACCAAATGTTAGACTGCTGGAACTCTTTGGTGTACAAGCATGCCTTTGCTAGAAATGTAAATGTACTCTATTAATACTGTAAATTTTCAGGTAAATGTTCGGGAAGAGGCATCACAAGTTTGAAGAAGAGGACATCACAATGACCAGGGGTGACATGCTTTTCTGAAGTGTCTTAAAATACTTTATCTGTCAGCCAGTTCTCTGTGGCTGTACCTCCTTCTTTGTTCTTCATGAAAGATGCTTTAGAAAGGTGAATCTGACATATCCTAAAATGGAACTTTGGGCAGGTATGGAGAAAATCAGTGGGATGAATCAATATAATTCAGGATTACAGGCCAGAAATAAACAATGCCTCTGTTGAATGCTTGGCTTAGAATTGTTGTAATTTGATTCTTGTTTGGTTTAGATTTCAAAATAAATTTAATACAGAAATGTAATTTGTGATGTAAGTAAAAGTAGAGTGCTTAGCCATAGACAGATATTTGCTGGAGAACTAATCTTTTTCTTGTAAAATTGTAAAATTCTATTTCTACATCTTGCATAGACCAGGGAATTGTATATCAAAATGTTTTGCTTAGCTGTTATTTGACTGAAATTGATGCTTAGTATGCCAAGTGCCAGGTATGCTCATTGCACTTTAAAGAGTGCGTTGAGCTTGCACTCAGTGTAGTGCAGACTTGAAATGCTTTAGAAACTTCACTTTTATTTTAAACTAGATCAGCTTTACCTTCCAACACATTATCTGGGGACGCTTAGGACTGAGTTCAGGTTACACCTGAAAACCTGATTAGATTATCTCTGCTGGATTGTGAGATGCTGCTGTTAGTGTTCCTGAAATGCCTGAGCTTACCCAGTTCAGTTTGTGTCTGCTTTGAAAGCCACCGCTGTGTCTGTATTGTAGTGTAATCCCTTTGGTTCACTTCGGACAGGAGCTTGTTTTCCCAGTGTAGGCATGAGAGCTGGGTAACGTGGATAGGATATACATTTGGTGAATAGCAGCACTGCATTCTGTAACATGCGATGCACACATTTTGCAAATAATGGCCATCGGTAAAGTCCAAGAGGTTACCCGTTTGAATATTTTTTCCCCAGGCTGCACAGCTTATTCACAAAAAGCCCAAAGTTACGCATGCATTATTCAGGTCTTTACACTGCAGATTACTTAATCATTAAAAAAGTTACTGATGACACTGAAGGTGTTAAACAGTTTCAGTCCTGAAAGGGAATCGATAACTCATATTCTGTGAAGAGAGATGCACTGAATGAGGATTAGAAGTGCCAGTTAGTGTTATTGCTTCCAGACTTGCCAGTGAGTGTTCCTCCCATCGCTATTTGACTGAAGACTCCCGATGTTTTCTGGTTTAGTTTTTAATTTAAAAAAGCCTTTCTCTATCAATAGGCATGCCCGGGAGCTGCACAGATGAGAGACAGACATCTGCTTTCACAGAATCACAGAAGGGTTGAGGTTGGCAGGGACCCTCAGAGGCTATCTGGTCAATCCAACCCCCTGCTCAAGCAGGGCCACCTACAGCCAGTTGCCCAGGTCCATATCCAGATGGCTTTTGAATGTCTCCAAGCAGGGAGAGTCCACCACCTCTCTGGGCAACCTGTGCCAGTGCTCAGTCACCCTCACAGTAAAAGTCTTTTTCACATGAGCAACAGCAATTTTACTTAAACATTTCAGCATATGTGGGATGGATCCTCAAATGCTGCTCTGCTTTAATGTCAGATGAAGTTTGTGTGCAGCTTTCTTGGTTTCATGTACAAAGAAAGAACAGGAGTGTTTCTTTAATGGAGGGCATCATTTATTCTGGGTTATGCTGAAGGAGGGGAGTTCTCTAGAGAGTAGATAGTGGTTTAACACCATGATTCCTTTACTGATCTGGTAAGAGACATTTGTGTATATCTTAATGGATCCATTTCCAAGCTTTCACTGTGGATTTATGAGGAATACTATTTACGCAGAAAACTTACTGAATTCCCAAAAGACCGAAAGTATGAATCTGGCTCACTTATGCTCAGCTAATTTTTGGTGATGTCTGCTCTGTTGAACATAATCCTTTAGCTCTGAGACCTGCTTCTCAAGAGAGCAGAACAGCAGAATGTTCTTTTGCTGTCCGCAGCATGTGATGAGCAGGGTGAGGTTGAGGCAAGATACCTTTAAACTCCGGACCTAGAGCACAGTCCTCTGTTTGGGAAGTGGTGGTCTGTGCCTCCAGCGATTGTCATCAGCCTGGAGTTGGGCATATGTGGCTAACAGTTGCTCTTTGACCTCACTGACTAAAACACCGCAGTAGCTGCAGTGTCCAGCTAGGCACTTTTAGTGGGCAGTCCAAGTCTGGTCATTCATCTGCTCTGGGCTACTAGTTCTTTACACTGATTATTTTGAAGCTGGAAATAGTTGAGCCACCTCCTGAAATTCCTGGCTAAGTAATGTGGGGAAGGGGTTACCTTTGCTATTTGTTTTCTGTTAGCTCTGTGTCATTGCAGGAGGAGTATGGTAGGTAAATCCTCCGATGGTCATTTTTCCTGAGAAGCTTGAAAATTAGATATTTTGTTTTACATTATTTCTCATTGATTGCCTGAGTATGTAACTGCTTGCTGCATGCTTGTTCATACAGAACTAGCTGCTAAGAGTGGTTTTGGGGGTGTTTTGTTTCTTTTTTTCTTCTTCTTGGAGACAATAGAAACAACACTGAAGCATTCACTTGGAGACTGAAAGCTTCCCCCTCAAGCCTCCTCCTGCCAAATGTCTTCATGGGCTTTGCAAACAAGAAAACTAAGCTTAATTTGGTCCAGTTCTCCCCTCGAGCTGTACTTTCTCTCCAGAGAGGTTTAGAGCAATGCCGCATGTCTGTGTGCTCCCATGTTGCGTGCACCAGTTCTTTTCCAGCTGACGTCCAAATGTGATGGAAATGCCAGATAGGAAAAGTAATGGCAGATGTCAGAGGATGATGCTTGAAAAATTATGAGTGAAGTCTAGTAAGGGGCCAGGAAGGAAAAGCAGGAGAGTACGGAGACAAAAGTAACTGAAACACAGTAATTCAGAGGCTGATAGTTAAGTGCTACAGAGCAGGTTTCTGTGGATAGATGAACTTTCATAGCCCCGTGGGACAACTAGAGTTTAAGGTGATGTCTCTCTGAACAGGACAGCTCCTAACCACGTGGCACAAAGGTACTCAAAAGCCAAGTTTTCATTTATTCTGCCACTCGGAAGAATTTCATAAGCAATTCTGTACAATTTGTAGGCAATGCTTGCAGCATGGGGGTAGGGTGGTGTTGCACCATCTGTATATTGCCTTGACAGCTGCTTAATGGGTGCTGGTGGTTCCCTCTTCCTTTACCCCCCAAAAATTAGATGCCTAATGGCCTTTATTTTGGACTGAAGATCAGCTCTTGGACACGCGTGCACATGGATCTGTGTATGGATCTCGCTTTTCCATCCTAAACTGGTTGCTGAACAGCTATGTCTTATCTCCTACCTCTCAGGGTTTATGTGATCCATGTATGTAAAACTTAATAGATGTTAAAATACAGATTGTATTTTATGTCCCATTAACAGGGAATGTTGCAAGAGAGTGACTGCAGGCTGCTGGTTGTTTCTGTAGGCCCAAGTTTTTTTTTATGAAGTGGTTTGAAGCAGTGGGTAAAGGCAGCACAAATGCTATTGCTGGGCTGGTCACCAGGGTCTCCCTGTTTAATGGAGAATTGATTTTTTTTTTTCAGCCCTCGTCTTTGTTTCCTGCCTAGAGATGGCATTAGATTGCAATTTGATTGATAGTAATTACCTGAGCTTTACTGAGGACACACACGCCTCTTTCCTTAGACCAGTTTTATGAAATGCTTCAGTTAAAACATAAAAACACAGCCCTTGTGTCTCGGTGTGAGCGATTGGGATGTGTTCTCCCATTTTCTGTACAAAGTCTTCACCAACAGTTTCCATTTTAAAGCACAGAAATTACCAGATGTAACTAACCCACTATATAATGCTGCTATTCTGTAGCTAGTTCTGAGGGAAGAGGATCTTTAGTCAAAAACCTAGGCTTTTCATTTATTTATTTAATTTATCCAAACCTCAGGGGATAGCTACCAACTTGTCAGCTGCAAGAGGTCACTGAAAAACCTACCCAAATGGAAACAAAGCCCTGTACCAGAGTTTTGATCATGTGTCTCCGTATCAGCAATGGAAAGGAGCAGAATTTGGTCAGTTAAACTCTACGGACCTTTCATTTCTGTGTAATTGGAAGCCGCTGGGTGCCAGTTGTCTCTTTGCGGTCTGAATTTTTGCACTGTCATTTATGAAAACTAAACAGCCTGAGCAGAGCTGTTACCTTCTCTGCTTTCTGCAGAAGGCTAATGGGACTGTTTGAAGGTACATGCTTGTTCTTGTGAAGATTTTTCCTCCCCTTTTCACTACAGAGGCTGCAGCTTTTGACAACCTGTAGTGCTATTCAACCACTGGAGCTATTCGGGGAAGAGAAAATGAAAAAAAAGAAGATGAAAAGGTGCCATCGAAGTAGCTGGATGTGCAGGTATGGCTCCTCTGCTGAACAGCAGTAGCACTTGCTGGTTCTACTTGGTGGCATTTTTTTCTGCCATGTGGTGTTGTTGCACATCAGCCAAAGGCTTGTGAACAGGGGAGAGTGGAACTGGAAATGCTGCACATTGGCAGTGGGCACTTGACAGAGTGTACCCTGTACTGGCAACACTGTGGTGAGAGGTGGGGTTTGGTTGTGTCTGTATTTTTGTGTGTGTGTAGTGCAGATTGTTTGTTTTGTTTTTTATTAGCTTGGTGGTAGGTACAACTTCAGCAGCTTCATCTTCCAGTACCAGCCATCTTCCTTTGCGCTTTTTTTTTGAGACGGCACGAGTGGCTCAGCTGACACAACGTCCCATCGATCCACTCTGGTAAGTCTTGCTCTTCTGCTTTGCTCCCCCCTGAGGCGTAGGTACGCTGTGGGCATGCACTCTGTCACTACAGCCTGGCAGGCAGCAGGAGGGCTGGTATCCTTTACTGCATCAGTTACACTATCAGTCACTGGGACAGAGGGTGATAAAATGCACAGACACAGGAATGCTTTTTTTTTAAATTAATTTTTTTTAAGAAACTGCATACATCAGAGACAAACAATAATTTAAATACCATGCAGTTTCTGTATGTACAAAACCTAGGACATAGAGATCCAGTTTAATTTTTTTCTAGTTATTTACATCGTTTTCATACAGCCATAATCTGTTAAATTACAATACTGGAAGAGCACATGATTGACAGCCACCACACTCACTCCTATATAAAGACAAACTATATACATACACTTGGATATCAACTGGAAAATGCAACTGGTGCAGAAGTAACTGGGACACACGGGAAAGCAGGTAATGTGCCCGTCACCTCCTCTCTGTTCGCAAAGTTATTCTGAGCTTGAGCAGACTGAACACTTGGGAAAAATCCTTTGTTCCCCTTTTTCTTTCCTGATTTTTTTTTTTATTAGCCTAGTCATCTCCCATGGCTATTTATACAAAGTGATTTTATTTGCAGGCACGTTAGAGAGTCCCCTTTCACGTATAACTATGGGTTTCCATCTCACCCATCTATTTTTATGAGTGCAAGCTTTCACTAGGCATGTTGGAAGTGCTCCCCCTCGGTTGGTTTATAGTGTTTCCACTGTACAGACAGCACTCTAGAAATAACGAAGGGCGAGTGTGGTGACTCCTTGCAGTGATGCCAAAATGCTATGGTTACATGTAAGCCTTAGGCTGAAATATACTTGTGTAATGGGCTTACTGTTTCAGTTAATATAAAATAGCTAAGTGTCTATTATATTCTTCCCCCCTTCCTTCTCTTCTCATAACGTCTAGAGTGCGCACTAGGAATTGTCTAGTCAGTCACAAAAGCCTGAGCCCCGTCCCAGTGAGCTTGCAGCCTGAAACTTCTCCAGATGGCAAGTACCTAATCAGCGGGGCGTGGGGTGGGGAAAGGACCCCACGCTGACCTTCGCTGGGATGCATAAATACATCCCCAGGTCCCTGTAGCCCGCTGCCAGCAAGGGTGTGGGTGGGAGGGCGATGCCACCATTGTATTTCCTCACCGTCGCTTTTTTCTTTTTCAAACTTTTTTCAAAACTTTTGTCTAGACATTTTGGAACTGCTTTTCCAATCCCCGCCACCTACCCAGCCCCCCTCGCCCCCCCGTTTCCACTTCATTTTTCCACAGGCTGTAGAACAGATGGCACAATAGTTGCACATTTTAAGTATGAATAACCCAATCAGGAATCAGTAGATTATAACCAAAATGTTTTTCTTCCTTGACTCTAGAATATTATCTCCATTATCAGCCAGGGAGACGGATGATTGGAATAGCCGTTTTTGTTCTGCGTTGATTTTTCCATTCTCTAAACCTGATGTAATTTCTGTATTACTACTATTAATTTCCCCCTAATATGAATGAGGATGACTGCTGTTAACTGTGGTGTTAACCAAGTCTTTGCAGAAATGTTATATCATCTTTATGTCCTACCCATAATCCAGGTTGAAGGGGGAGAAATCACGACTGTGTTGTTATTTTTTTTCACCCCCAACAGAAACACAACTACTTTACAGCAGTAGAGATGGCTTTCACAGATGAGAAGAAAACAGATTTTTTAAAAAAGGACGAGCTGGTCCCCAGTCAGCTTGCAACTTCCCATGGATGCCAGAGGTGGGTGCGCAAACTGAGGACGCACTGCAGTGTTCAGGCACTGAAAGGCTGTTGAAGAATGCCTCACCAAAGGGTACATTTGCAAAAAACCCAGACCTGCTGAAGCTAAAACCAGATGAAGTGCCAGTTCTGTGATGCTTACTACAGTGCCGAACACTTTATATGGCTTCGTTCTCCTCCTCCTCCTCCCTTTTTAAGTAATAAGCTCTACTTGTAATTTGGGAGAAATAGGGCAGTTCTTCCACTGTGTCCTGGTGTCTGCTCAACCAGGAGCTAACATCATTAAAAAAAAAAAGAAAAAACAAAAAAAAGCATTGTCACATGTAACTGCCGTGGGCACAGCCTGAATCCTGAGGCAGGCAGGGCATGAGAACTTGCTGAGCGGTCAGCAGGGACCTTGGGCCTGTCTAGATGAAGGCAGGGCCCTGGGGAACGTGTGGCTGTCACCCAGGATGTGGCTGTTATGTTCCTCACCCAGTGCCCAAGGGTTTATTTAGGCTACCAGACTGGCAGGCGTGGGCACTGCTGGGGTCCATGCCCACGAGGGACGGTGGCAGTACCCAGAGTGATGTTGCCCAATATGTGTGTAGTTAAAAGACGAGAGTTTTGTTTTCCCTTTTTAAAGCTGTGATGCAGTCTTGTTACGCATGCATGTGTATGGGAATGAATTTAAAAACATGAACCCCAGCTTTTCATAAAAATAACCCCTAAGCCATGTATTCCTGGCTAGCACGTAAGTGCTCTTTGTGCGCTGAGCTGATAACATTGCACAGTAACAGCTGCCACTACTGATGAACTTGTCTCTAAAGAAACTGGGAGCTGGTGATACAGGGAAAACTCTGTGTGTCTCTTTGGAAATCATTACCTGGTCTGGGAAGCACCTTGCATCAGAGGCATGCTGCCTCAAAATGAGGCACCAGAAACCAGCTGGTTTTTACTTTCCTTTGTTGCATCTTCCATCCTACAACAGCCAGTTCTTTTTTTAACAGCTAATAATCTCGAGCGTTGCAAGGATGGCCACGGATGAGAATGAAACGCTTTCGCTTGTCTCTGATGGAGAGCAAACCTGTGAGGTATTGAGTACCACCGCTAAGTGTGAAGGGAGTGTGTTTGGCAGGCTGGGTGCTAGAACAACCCCATGCTCCTTTTGCTTTGCTCCCGTGACCAGAGGAATGGGATGGATGCCCAAGACGAGGCAGGCGTGTTGGCACTGTGTGTTGGCCCATCGTCAGTAAAGGGCAATGTTGGCATGGCATTGGGGGGCATAGAGAGGGAGCACAGAAGAGGATAGATACATGAAAGACAGTGAGAAAGGAAAAAAATAAAATAATAACAGAAGTAGCAACACTGTAGTAAAAAACTTTGGCCTCTCTTCAAACTGTCAAAGAAAAAAGGTGTCCTTTTCAGGACATTTTACAGTAATGTTGCTACAGTGCTTTGGGCCAGTAGCCCAAAACAGGGTGTAATTGTTTCTTGTTAGAGCTGGAAAGAAATCCTAGACAATGTTTGCCCCAGCTTCCTGGCATTATACTAATTAAGGACTTGATTCTGGGAGGTGCTGGCCAAGGTTCAGAAAAGCACTTACATGTGTTCAGCTTCAAATAAGCTTGTCAGACATGTTCTTGAATGCAGTGAGGCTGTTTGCATGCTTACTTAGTGTTAAGCACACACGTAAGTTGGCAGGTAAACCAGGCCCAGAGCGACCAGCTCTCTGAGCTCTACTTGGTCAATTTGTCTGTTAAACCACTATAATAAAAATAAATTAAAACCAAACCAGAACATCCCTGGATTGCTGTCCTTACGCCTCAGCTGTAGGTACCAGTGACAAGTCTTGCCATCCATACCACTGCAACAGATTCTTTTTTTTTTTTTTTTTTTTTTTTTTGGGGGGGGGGGAAAAGTTTTTCCCCCCCAACCCCCGCAACAGAATTTTTTTTTTTTTTTTTTTTTTTTTTTTAGGCCAGGTGGCACAACTGGTCAATGCTTTTCTCAGTATCAGTTTAGGCTCAGTTCTTGAAAAGCCTGATACACAGAGGATAGATATCCCTCATCAAACCAACCCCCAGTTCCTCCTGTTGTGTGTCCCTCTGCAGTGCCGGTGGGAATTCCAGCCTTTCTTGCTGCTGGGCACGCGTCGGCTCTCACACAATCACGAGGCTTGGGTGTAAAAAATGATCTACAAGCTGAGTGAATGCCATGCAGTGACCATGAAGAGATGGGTTTTGCTTGTCCTCAACATTCTTGTCGTTAAGTGCTGATGGGTTCACAACTGGGTTTACAAAATTATACTTGAAAGAAAAATAAACAGTTGCTAGAACTGAACCAGCCTTTTTCTGCTTGGGAGCCGAACAATGCCTATTGACTGGCCATAAACTTCTCCAGGAAAAGCAGTGCCTTTCTAATCCGATGATATTCACAGATGGGCTGGCCCGTAGAGGAGTTTCGCTCCTTCACCATCCTCATAAGGTGCTCGCAGCCTGAAAGGAGTGCTTTGTGTAAGTGCTTTAGTGCCACAGATGCTGGTCTTTTGGAGACTTCATCCAGGCCAGTGATTCCCTGAACACCATCTTAGGTCTCTCTGGAGTTGACAACAGAGGCTTGTCAGGATGAAGGGTGCTTGAAGACGAAATGGATGCACCACCAGCTGGGCTTGAACACGTATGGCAAATCCACATGCCGGGAAAGTCTTATACATAGATGCCAAGTGTTGGCACAATTCCCACCAGGGGTATTTTCTGTTATTGAAGCTTGAACCAGCAGGTCCAATGATGCTGCAGTACCCATCACATGTAAATACAATTTTCCTCTTCTTTTAATATTTATTTTTCTACTCTTTTTTTTTTTAAAAAAAAAGGCAGTTCGGAAGATTTACATTGTACGTAACAGGGAAGTGAATAATACCAGCACTTATGGTTCCTTTTAGTTATGTTTTGAAGATGGCATAGTAGTCAGGTAGAATTGAACTGCTACGGTCTATGAAACCTAAAACCCAAGGAGAGGAGAAGAGAAATAGTAAGATAGTATCCTCATATGCATATTGGACATAAAAAATTGGAGCACTAATTGCTGCAGTGACACAATTAGGCATCTCGATTTTTGCAGCAGTGATGTCAGCCATGCTGGCAGTGGGGACCCAGAATAGCCACACTTCCTTGGCCCTCGCCAGACTCCCAGTTCATAGGCATTAGCAGGTTGCACCAAAATCTACCAAAGACACTAATACACTTGGAGTCCATTCTGTCATATCCCTGGAGTAAGTTATTTCAGATCAGCTAGTCCTCTTTCAGACCACACCATGCCTGATGCCACAAAAATTGTCCAGTTTAGACAAACCTCATGCTCTTCATCCAGAAAGATTTACACACAGTTCCAAGTATGATTATTCCTTAATCTCTGAGGCTAAAGACACAAGTAGAACTCAAATGGCCACTCTTTATGCAAGTACACCCTGGGTCAGGAGACCTGGGTTTGTCAGCTCTGCAAAGGCATTTTTTTTTTTAAGCTTTGATTTTTCACTCTATCATCATGAATTAATTAATGTGTCCTGCTAGTAAAGCTAGCATTCTTTGCTCAGCTCATGCCACTGCTTAATGACATGAATAGCTCATTACCTTACTAATGATTTTATAATGGTGATTTATCTAAAGTTTGTTTAAGGGAATTACTCTGTTTCAGCATGCTTCCTTCAAGTGCATATTTCCAGAAGGCACTTGTCAAACCAGCAAGTCCTGCTCAACTTCAGACAAACCCTTATTCCAAGGTCTAATCTATTAGCTATACCTCTGAGTATGCCTGGCCCAGACTTAGTGAGTCACAGCCACTCAGTGGCTTTCAAAAACAGTCACCTCAGAGGGTCACTGCCCACCCCAACACTGGAAAAGAAGCAAAATACTGCCCAGAAACCTGCGAAAGCCAGCTGGAGAGGCTTCTGGAAAATGAAATCAGTCTCTGTGTTTGTGGGATGTTAAAGGCCTCATGGAAATGAACGGAGCTCTCAATGGAGCTCAACTCCTTGCACCAACACCCCCGTTAAAACAGCCTCATCCCTTCTAAATTTGTCACTGCTCTCCTGGAGGAGTGAGCCAAATATCCCCCAAAGGTTCAGTCACCAGGGTCAACAGATCTAGGCCAACCGCAGACCCTAAAGCTTCTTCCAGACCTCGTGGCTCAAAGGCAGCTGGCTCATCTCTAACAGCACACCGTGATTACAAACCCCGGTGTAACCATCCTAGCACATGCTAGGAAGTAGAAGGGAGATCACTTCTGCAAGGGAATATATGCATAATACATGTGGTGAATATTAGTATAATTATTAATTTATACACATTAAAATTATCTAATACAAAATTAATTTTGCTTTAAGCTTTTCTGTACTTTTTTCTTAAAAGCATTAACTGCATTTTTTATGAGCACCTCGCTCACGAACGTATTAATACAAGGGCAGCTCCAGTTTTACACCAGATCTCGCTCTCACTTGTCTTCAATACCTGAAAACATGCGTCTTTAACATCTAACAATGAGTGGGGTCAGTGCTGATTGGCAAAGGCCTGACTTCAGTGGAAATGCCCGGAGTTCAGCTCATCTCAGCATCAAAGCGTCAAAGTCTTAAAAACAGTCCCACTCTTTGAACGCCAGTCTTGCCAGTTCCCCAGTACATGGCCTATGGCAGGCCCTGGAGATCCGCGCATGGCATGGGCGGAGCGTGGAACAGCCGTGTGCTCAGCGGGATTGGATTTGCGCTCACTCATTCCTTCCATACATACTGGCTCTATAGGAGTTCCCTGTCCTCCTTCAGATACCAACACTATTTACTTTTGATATCAGAACAGACATAAAGCTAGAGCATGATGATTTAAAAAATAAAATAAAAGGAGATTACACTTCATCAAACAGATGACACGTGCCTGCAAACCACCATGTAATGAGGCAGCATCAGTTTGTCTGTGCGAGTTTCTTTTACAGCCTGTAATTCTAAATGTGGTCCAGACCTTATGGTGTGTTCAGTGGGTGCTGGAAAAACAGCTGCTGGGTTGTTTTTTTTTAAAAAACAATAGTATTCATCAATAGTCTTAAAAAAATTCATCTCAGCTTACCTTGTTAGATGCCTGCTTAATTCATGAACTTCCATTTCAGTGCTTTTAAATTCATTAAGCTCTTTTCGAATTGCTGCCTGCAAAGGACAAATAAACTCATAAATGTATAAGTGAGAGAAATCAAAATGAATGCACTTTGTTCTCACAACAGTACATTAAAACTGAAGCAGATAGATAACATTATCAGAGAGAGAAAGAAAAACATAAAAAAGACTAAAATGTGAAAAGGAAAAGAGATAAACACGTTCTAAATCACATAAAGGGAACAGATAAATGCTTCGTTGGAATGGCTCAATTTGAAAACGTATCGTAGACAATGCAGACACAGAACCCAATTCTGGCTTATTATGTAAACACTTTCATGTACAAAATGCAAATTAGCATAAGCATGAGAAAAAAAAAAGTGCACCAGAGTTTCTCAGAGACTGTGACCTGTTTCAGAGCTGGACTGTAAGTAAATTCCACCTGGATCTTGCCAAACTCATATTTGAGATGTCTCCCACCTCTATGCAGTCCTGAATTTTCTCAGGTGAAGTTACCTAAAGGGGCTGAGCTTATTTGGGAAGGAAAGAGGGATGCCCAGCTCCCTGCCCTCCCCTCTGCCTCGGGCTGTGCCCCTCTGCTCTCCTCCCTCCTGACCCAGCTGTGCCATTTGCTGAACCCATTCAACACACTAACCCAGCAGAAAACGAGCCACAGGTGGTTGTATTCAGCACCAGCAGGAGACCCAGTTACCTACCACCTCTGTGGTTTGTCTGTGAGGGAAAAGAAAGCCAGGGGTGATGGCAGGAAGAGAAATATTGAAGAATTAAAAAAACCAAAAAAGATGGAGTGACTTGGAGGGACTCAGCTTCGTGGCGGAGAAGGCATTTGGCAGAATGGGCTCAAGTTCCAAACCCAAAGTCACGAGTTCTGCTAGTCCTGTGGTACCTGCAGCTCACAAGTGGGTTTTACTGGGAGTGTACGGAGAGGACGTGCTGCTCCATTCAGTGGTACTCATTGTCACTAATTTTTCTTGATGAAGGAAATGTAAATTAGTATGAACAGCATGAGCCCGAAACAGGGCTTTTGCAACAGCCACCACCTACCTTTGCCTTGACAAGCCCTAAGCGATAGATTTTGTGGGTGTGATCTACAGAAAAGGCCCCTTGTGCTCTTTCTGCACAGCTTTCGGGTTTTTTTTATTAAGCTTAGAAATGTCTGTCAGGCTCTGCCTCCATCTATCAGCACAGAGCGATGGCTGTGGAGCGGCTCAGGGGCCCACCTTCAGCAGCCCAATTTACTGCTTAAGCGACTGTGAAGGAGGCCAGGTGAGCTGCTGCCTCCCACAAGATCCAAAACCTATTCCCCCCGCATCCCTCATCTGCTGGATAGAGTCAGAAGTGCCCTTTTCATTCCTCTACCAGTCACACCTGATAAAGATGAAGTCAGACTGAAGGCAGTTCCCCACATCCAGCACACACAGAGCAAGATTTACTGACAAACAGAGAAGTCATTACTAAAATCTATTTTTGCATTAAATCTAGCCTGTGCTGACCAACAAAGACAATTATTGAATGAAAGTTCTGGAAGAAAATAATCTTTTATAGGATGTTGCAGCTTTGTCAGGCATTTTAGACTTGCTTCCAATTTGTCTGGCTATTTTTTTTCCAACAGTGGACACAGTGGTGGGGAAAAAAAAAAATCATCTCAATAGCAGAAATCAGAAAACTGCCCTTCATGACCCAACCCTCCAAAATAATGTATCTGCTTCCTTATGCCATAAGACTCATTAATATTAGAATGGCAAACATTTCTTCTGCTTTGCTGAGGAAAGGTTCATTTGGAGAACTTAAGCCCTTTTCTCTGAGTATTGACTTTGCACGTGCATTATAAAAAAGAAAAAGTGACCTCAAAGTACTTGGCCTTCATACCGAATTCTTTAGCAGGCTACAGTTAATAGTGGTATTTAATACTTGTTCTTTCCACAGACACAGGATGAGGAAGGAACTGCCTGGACACCAAATCTTCTGCTGTCCCTGCTGAAGTCTCTCCAGGCCTTTCATCCCAGACAGGGATCTCTCAAAGGCTGCAGAGCCAGTTGGAGATTTATTCCCTCCCTCATCTACCAACTGGGAGAATAACACTAAGTCAGCTGACTGTCCAACATGATGAGATAAAATGTGAAAAGCTAACTTTAGCTTGTATTTTTATGGTCTGTGTGGAGTCCAGAGGAAGTTTTTATTTTTTTCAGATCAGTTTATGCTACATTAACTTATCCATATAACTATATTATTTATGCTAAACTGAAAAAAGCCCTGTGTCAAGGAAAGAAAAGTGGAGACAAAACTATACACGTCCTTTGGTTTAATTATACAACTATAACTAGCTGCCCTTTCCTCTGTGAATAAAACCAGGAGGACCATAAATTAGTGGTGTGGCCAGGAATCCTCCTGTCTCTAAACACTGGACATCATGGTCTCCATCACCGCATGAGTCCCACAGCAAAATAGTCAGGGCTTGACTTCAGGTACCTGAAAGTCTTTTATAATTACATGGGCATCACAGAGTGACTGTAAGCATGGGAATCACTGATCAGCCTCATAGTCCTCTTTTCTTATAGCAGCCATAAAATGTTTAAATCGTCCTGAGGCACCACTAAGACCCTCAGGATGTGACTGATAGAATCTGCCAGCAATTTAACCCCTCTGCCACCAGTGCTGACACCAGCGACACCACTTAGTGAAGGTCCCACCGATGCTCAGAGGATAGCACTGTTAATACCAAACGTGCAGCTTTCCCTCATCTGCAGTTTACTGCTTAAAATGCTCCGTGGCAGAAATCCTGAACAAAGGCCCCTGTTGTAACATACTAGAGAGAAGTTACCTGGCTTTGGTGGGACAGAGATGCCTTTGCCGATTTGACGTGCTGGCATTTTTCCACCCTTTTCCATCCTGGCACAGCAACTCTGGAGGTGCTGCTGTCACACTGCTCTACCAGGTCTTGCGGGAGCTCTCAGCTGGCACCGTTACGTAGCAAGACCAAAACCAATAAACAAATAACAAGGCTGCCATCAAGACCTTTCCTTAAAGGGCTTGATATTCTCTCCTCTCTGTTTAAATGGTGTAATGCTGCTAGGCTTGCTCCTGTTTCCCCACGTATAAGAGCCTTCTTGGAAAGATTTATGACTCAACCAACAAACCTTTTCAATGGGAAGAAACCACAGGTGTGTTGAGAAGGGACGACAGGTGGAGGTTTATTCCTCGATGGCTGTGGGACCTGAGGGATACTGTTTGCCATGACATGCTCTCCTGTTCTGATCATGGCTCTCCCAAAGTTGCTCTACTTACTTTGTCAGCGGCTGTGAGTCGCGTCCAGGGTTTGTCTGCCCTCCTGTCGTAGTCTTGCGCGTCTGCTACTTCCACATAGTCGCTGAAGCGGATGAGGATCTTCCTCTCACGGAGCTCCTCTACCGTGGGCCTTTGACTCAGCTGCAGGTTTGAGGAAAGAGGGGAAAAAAGACATCAGAACTTCACTTTTCCCCTGCAGAGTGCTGCTTGGGGATTTATTTTACTACAACCATCGTTATGATAATAAAGAGTGTTCAGACATTCCCAGCACCGCTGTTTTTACTGGCCTTTCACAAAATTGCTACTTGGGAGATACCCTGCTGTTACAGCACCTTGAGTATCATCCCACCTTGCTGCCAGAGCAGCCCACTGCTTGGGGAGCAGCTGTGGCTGGAGACCCCAACCCCTGGCTGAGGTTGGTCAGCCCGAGCAGAAATGAGATTTAGTGCAAGAAAGTCTCCCAGTGCACTGCTGACGTCTCAGGGAGAGACAAAGACCACAACACAGAAGAGTCAGGCAAAGGCAGTGAGCGACTCCTGCCCTGAATTATGTGCAAAAGTTGACAAATGACTTTCCTTACCATTCTGATACTCTGCAGACTTGTCCTTACCTCCAAAAAAGGCAGGCAGGATGATGACTAGTGCTCATTGAACTTTTCATTGGACCCTGCAGCTTAAATTTTGTGTCACAGCGTATTTGCCTTTTAAAAGTTTTACACTGCATACTACAAACCAAGAAAAAAACTTGCAAGGGTGGGTTGTATCATGTCGAGAAAGCATCTTCATTGTTCCAAAGCTTTTCTTTCAAATTCCACAGCAGAATAGGCAGCCACAGTCAAAAGTCTCCTCTCAAATTAGAAACAGTAGTGTGCTGGTAGTCCCTGTATCATAGAGCCAGTTACACCGTTAGGGACAGGAACTGGCCGTCAGGGATCAATTCTCCTTGGATGCACAGTGTGCTGGTTAATGCCAAAAGCAATTACACAAGTGTTTCTGAAGAAGGTGCTACACATGTGTGTGCATGTGGCTGTGTACATTAGCAGTAAAAATTTCACAATTAGAGTGAAACATTTGTAATCGTATACATCAGGAAAAATAATATCCTGCTAGCAACTGGCTCGATGGTGTATCATGCTATTCCCCCTCACAGGTGTGCTTTGCAGTACCTCACCCTTGTCAATAGTGAAAGGTCCACGTATTTCATAAAGCGCTTGAGACTCTGTTCTGCAAAGGTATTTAGGCTCCTGGATCCTGACCTGCAATTCCACCTTGTTCCCAAAAGAAGTATCTCAGTTCTCTGCCCTTCATCTGAGTTAAGATTCAAAACAGCCAGGACACTAAGTGGAGGGTGAAAACTTTGTGAGATGAAAAGAAAGAGCAGCACATACTCGAAATCCCACCTCCAGCATTTGGGTGCTGATGCAAGAGAGCTCCACAGCCTGATCCTGCCTCTGGATTTAAATCCCTGCGTGCTTGTTCTTGGCACGGATGGTTGCCTCTCTCTTATCTCTTTAGAAAAGGTGGGTACTACGGAAGGTGCCAGCGGGGCTGCTCTCCTTACACAGATAGCCCAGAGCATGCACTCGTGACCTGGGTTCAAACACCCCATGCAGAGAGCCTGCAGAGCTGCACTGATGCTCTGCCTGTGAAACACTCGGGGACCGGACTCACATCTTACCCCTCCTGGCTGCACCCCAGCCATTGGGTGCACACTGAAGGCAGAGAAAACTCGGAAAGAAAGGGTAACCAGGAGCACAGATCTACACTGCCACGTAATGCCCTTGCCTAGGACAGCTGGCATCAGTCACACTGCAGCTTGGCAGTTCGTGTGTTGTCTCTGCAGCCATTGCAGAGTAAATGACAACATTTAATAGGAGAAAAACTCCTTGCTGGTTTGAAAAAGAGTAACTCTGAAACCTCTGAATATTGCAAAGATCTTAAAACTAGACATTTTTCTAACACCCACCTTCTTCTACGGGAGGCATGAAGTTTCCTGTGGTGAGCTTCTCTGCGTGTGTTTGTCACACAACACTCATAAGCTTCCTCTTATTCCTTCCAAGAATTTTCCCAAGAAAAGCCCCACTTTATATATCCATGCTCAGGTCAGCCAAAGAGCATGTATGCAGTGAGGCTAGCAAGAAGAAAGCCTTTCTGAACTCAGACTGCAGGTTTTGGGGACATTTTTTTAAAAACCAAAAGGCACAAGATTTTTTTTTTTTTTTTAGACAACAGGACAAACCTATCTGTGAGCTAGAATACCATGTCACAAAAGCCAAGAGGGCACAATAAAGTAAATCGAAACACTTATAGATTTAAAAATGTTATTTTTCACTCTAGCAGAACAGAATTGTCTCTTCAGCTTGCAGCCCTGATACCTATGCCTAAGTCACCTGTGAGCCAAATACACACTGTGATTAATAGACGGGCTTCTAACAAAAGTGAGCAAACCAAACTGCTGTGCCACGCTTGGAGTATAATCACAGTTACGCTAGGAGTGAGGCTTCTCTCTGTTCTACAACACATCCTGAATGTGATTTCAAGTTTCTAGGTTTTTCTAGCAGCCCTCGTACTAGAGCTGCAGGTTTGTTAGTGCCGATGCATTATTACTCCGGCAGAACAGCAGAATTTTGCTTCCGATTATTTAAAATCTAAGCCCTGACTATGGGAACAGAGAATCTTTACGCTTAAATAATATCATGACTACACCTCAAAATTTCAAAGATAAGGGTGAGACTCCATCTTTACTTGCATCAAGTGCTTCTTTTTTCACAACAGCACAAATTAAGGATGAATCGCCAATATCATCTGTACATTTCTCAGCTTTTATCACTTTAGGATGTAGCCTAGATGTTGTTTCAAATTAGGATGGAATTTTTTAAAACACAGAATGCCTTATTGCATGGAGTATGATGACACCAACAAAATATGAAATCCTGTAAATTAAACTCTGTGTTTCTAAATGGCTACAAGAGAAGCAGGAGCTCCTATAAGCTTTCCAAGCTGGAAGAGGACTTTCACATAATGGCTGGCTCTATTTCACAAGCTTCTGTCAGCTCTAGACATTAGCCAGCCTTCACATTTGTGCTAATCTAAGTGATGAGCAAGTTTGTACCAAGGAGAAGGCAAGTGGCTATGGACAGACTGAACCCTGCTGCTGTGCCAGGCTGGTGTCTGGCTGGTGTCAAGACCAAAGAGCACCGAGAGCCACAGAGGCAGCCGCTGTTGCCAGTGGCAGAATTCACTTCTGGTATTTATCTCAATGCTGCACGGGGTCTTAACCGGCTGTTTTGGCTTCCTTGATGTGCCAGGTGTGGGTTAAAATCAAAGAAATGACAGTAAATGTTAAGGGTCATGTGATGAAATGAGACAAATCTGAGGTAAGTTCTCATGTTCTCAAAAATCGGGTGCATCACCCGCACATTTTACACCACTGACACTCACGGCAACCCTTCGTTTGGGCATGCAGAACGGTACGTGAAAAAAACATCAAGGGCATGATCACATTATGAAACTTTGGTGTCAATGAGCATTTTTCATTCTTAGGTGACACCTGAACAGACTAAAAGCTGCTGCTTCTTTTCCTCTGAAGTCACACCGCTATTACTGTATATTATTTTTAGATGCCCTGCTTTGCTTCAGAAACCTACAACCAGTGCAATTTCAGGTACTTAGCCAGCCCATCAGAGCGGTGGGCAGTGCCTCCATCCCCGCGAGCAGCTGGAGCAAGCAGAGCACAGAGACTGAGCAACCAGCTCAAGGTGACCCAGGAGGCCTGGGGCAGAGCTATGGGCAGAAAAAAGACACTGACTCTCGTGCCAGTGCTCTGGCTGTAAAAGAGAGTCCTGAAATCCACAGCTTTTGCCATCTAGTTCATGTATAGCCATAAATCTACATATCTTTACATATATAAATACACAAACACTAAATATATTCAGTACATTAAACCAAAGTGCCAATCTGATCATACTAAATGAAAAGAGAGGGACAGCCACGCTGAGTGGTTTTCCAAGCAATTAATTAAAATTGAAGGGTTACCAAACTGCCTGGCCTCTCTCTCTCATGCCATTGCAGAGATTTCTTGTGAGCTGCTAAGTCTGAGGGTCCCTCAGGATGCCTGGGCTTCACCCTTAACTCTTACATAGCTGGGAAAATACCTTTGCTAACAGACTCTGAGCAGCTCCACTGCAGGTGTCAGGTCAGTGTCTGTTCACGATAAGGGCACAGCTCACCTGAGATCTCACCTTGGAGTTTATTTTTATGACCTGTGAGCTGCGGTCTCTTGGGTCAAAATTTCTTAATGCTACAGAATCCTTCTTGGGCAACACCTGATAACGAGCTCTGCTTCTTCTAACAGGCAAAGAGAAGAGGGCACGTTAGAAACGTATGGTAAAAGGACACAGTCAAGGACAAGATGCAATTGCCTGCGCAAGGCGGTGGTGCTCCAAGCGGGGAGAAAGGATCTTACTCACTGAGCTGGACCCATTTTCACTTCTGTTAATGTCAAAGGGATGTGCATGTGTGTGTCTGGACATTTTCTGGGTGGGTCATCTAGTCATATGTTTATCTACCTGTGAAGATTTGTGAGCTGAGGGAGCAGGATAACTTTATGGTAAATGACTTCATTATTTGAGTGTGAACCAGGGCAAAAACCCCTTTTGAAGTAAACGGATTTGTGTTAATGCAAAAGCAGTGTAAATGAGGACAGGACCTTTCACGTCTCGTCACTGGAGGACAAGTTTTCCTCTGAATATTCTGGATCACGGGCAATAAAAATGGGCATGTTTCAAGCTTCAATACTAAGCCAATTTGCAAGGGAAGGTTTAACACAAACCCCTTTGTTCTCGGTGTGGGAAATGAAGCAAACCCAAGCACTGCCACCAGGTAAAGTGGAGGGGGCCGTACTCTTGCCAGTCTGGTCCTGGGATTTAGTCAAATGTGAAATGCTGAGCTTGCTCCACTTCAGCCACAATGAAGCTTGTTGTCTTGTCACTTCAGCGTTGCCTGCTTTGCTACCTCATCAAAATGGTAAGGTTGTTATTTAAGGAAGAGACAAAGGTGAAAAATTACAGATCCTAACTAGCAGTGCACACAACCCCTTCTCTCCTTTGCTCCCCACCTTCGGTAAGACCCAGGAGCAGGATGTGATGAAAAGACCTTTCGCTCTTGACTATAAATGCAGTTCATCCCAATTAGCCGCTACCCTTTTTTCTTCTCTGACCCTTCTCTCCCCCTCGCCTCCCTCTCACCTCTGACAAGTCCCACCTCTCTCAAGAGTTCATTATTTTGAACAGCCCGTGCTGATGCAAGCCAGCTGAGGTCAATTAAAGAAAAGGTTGAACAGAAAGACGTTCCCCAGTGAAGCACCAGTGAACAGAGAGTTTAAGTTGTACCAGGGTAGGAATTTAATAGGAACAAAGATTTCAGATTACTGCGTGGATTTTAAGAAACAGCCACATCTCATCATTTTGGCTGTTGATATTACAGCTGCGAGATTAATTTTAGTTTTGGAGCTAGACCTCTGGGAAAATGTAGCTATTGACAGTGAGGGCCAAGCAGCAGTGAACAGCTCTGGGGAACAGGGGGGCATGATGCTCTTTGAGAGAAGAGAAGGTAGGAAACGAAGAGTTTTACTCCTCCTTGCAAGTGATTTGTAGCGTGTTCTGTTAATCCAGGCTACAACTCTCCCTCTGTAATGGAAGTCCTCAGCAGAGTTCAGGCTTGTGTTAACTGCCTTGGTGCTTGGCCAAGTTCCCCAAGGTTCAGAGACGATAAATTCTTAGCAGTAATTCCTAGGGGCCCAGAATTACCTCCTCGCGGAGGGCACACGCCTGCAACACTTCTCCCAGAGGGCCTCTGCATGTTAATGTTCCTGGAATGGGTCTGTGGGCCAAAAGCAGTGCTCACAGAAACCGCCTCCTAATCCATCTGTGCTTCCGCTCACACAAAGCTGCTCGGCGGCCCCGAGGGGCAGGGAGAAGGAGCTCAGGGAGGCTGGATGTGCAGAACCCATCCACGGGCATCTCAGGTGACAGGCAAATATGCTTCACCTCTCCTTCCGCAGGCAGGAGGGACACCACCTACAGAGACTGCACCAAGCAGCATTTGCCTCCTTTTTGTTCCTTGAATGGCAGCTATTCCCTATTCCCAGTTAGTCTGGAGTTCGATGAGTCTGGAAAGTGCTTAAAGGGGCAGCTCACTATGGGTCACCTGATTTTTGTTATTTTATTTTTTTTTCAGAAATTGCCTGTCCAGATGATGAATTCAACTGGGTATTTATTGCTGACTTTAATAAGGCACCTAGACCTAGCAAGGTAATCTTACTTATTACAGCATGTCATGTTACAACTTATCATCATAATACTGTAACACAGTACTGTCAGCGCTGAAGGAATTTTAAGAACAGCTTTTTAATGGATCAAGTGGGTTGTCCCCTTGGAGTTAGAATGACGCCACAAAAAAAATTAGGGACAGTGGCAGTTTCTAAAGTGCAAGGTCAAAAATCTTTTCAGCGGCTTCTGCAAGACCACCTTCCCTTCTTACTACCAACTACATATGGTTCCCAGGAAGCACCGTGGCAACCTTTCCTTACGTTGAATTTACCCTGTGGGCATGTGGGTGCATTAAGCCTCAGTGCAGACAGAAAGGTCTGCTGGGCAAAAAACACTTGCCGTGCTCAATGAAACTTCTGCTTGATCTGAGGTTTAAAATCCTTTGGTAATAAGGGACTTCAGTACAAATTGACAGAAGGAGCCTGCCACTCTGCTGTAGACACAACGACACATCTGGGACCTGCTCATGAAAGGCAGAGCTGGGGAATAGCAACAATCGTGTCAGGATTCACTAGGTGGTTGGCATTTCGAGTTGTTATCTATCCACCTGCACACTTTATTCACTAATCTGTCGTTAGACCAGGCTTGTGGTTCTTTCTTTAAAATTACAGTGTGTCACTAGAACAATTTACAACCATTTAAAAAGATGATAAAAATCAAACAATGCTGGGTCATGCTGCTACCAGCCTCACAAATGTGAGTGAGAAAAATCTTTACTATGGAACAAGCCAAAAAAGGCTGAAAGGAATGTGACCGGGAATGGGGACATGAACATCAAGGAGCCAACTGCCAGGGACTTGGGCTGATCCTACTCTCAACGTTGATCCTACTTAAAAGTGTAACCAAGACAAGGAAAGATATGTCACAGAAAACTGCTGAGATTTCAGGGAGCAGACACTGCTGTGATGCCACAGCAGCCTGGGTGTTTCAGTTGAGCATCTACCTATGGCCTCTGGCTGCAACAAACAATTCATGGGCTTTATACCTTTCCTACAAAATAGCAGAGGATGGGAACCGTATGGCGATAACACAGGCTGAGTTAGCAAGCCCCCACTTCTTAGGCAGCAGATTGGGTATGGGTAACTTTGCTTTTTATATATTACATCTGTTCATCAAATGAAACAAAATGAAAATGAAAATAAAACGGGTTTTCTAGTCTTTGCCCAGACAGCAAGTCCCACGAAACATCTGCAATACAGTTAGGATCTTTTATTTCAGGCAGTGCTACAAGGGGATGTGTGAACATCCCTGCCATTGTTATCAGGAATTGAAGTGTCTTAAAAATAATATTTGATCTCTCTGGGCTGCATCCTTAGCTCCTGCAGACAACAGCAGTATCACCCCGTTGGTGATGGGGAGCTCTGCTGGTTTACGCAAGCTGAGAATGAGCTGTGAGATTTTTAACCATGAAAGAAAACAATCCAGCTCTTTGAATGTAACCTTTGAAGGTAACCTTTGCATGTATATTTACAGCCCTTTCCTTGTCATTATGTGTACCATGAAAGCTTGAGATCACATAGGTCAAAAAGACTAAGCCACCAAAAACGTACAGGAAAAGATTGGGGGCATTCTCCACCTCTGGAGATAGGAAATATGTCAGTGGTGAAATAAGGTTTATCTGCAGCAACAGGATGGACTGTTGGCTATGTATGTTGGGGCATCTGTAGACATTGACACCAGCTGCGAAACGGAATGTGTGTATCTGAAATGCCTGTTCTTCAGTTTGAAGAATAAATGACTTTCAAATGGGAGGAAAACCAAAACCAAACTACGCTGTTTTGTTCCTCCTTCCCTGCCAATACAAGATTGTTTTCTGCACTATACACCATTTTGCAACTGCTTGTCTCTATTTAGTTTAAATGCCTTGAGTGACAATCTCCCTTTCCAGAAAAAATGTTTATGTCCCAGTTTTATGCTTTTTTTCGGTGGAATTTTCAAATGCAACCAGCATTGTTTTAACTTTGCTCTCTTCGTAATGGCTGCAGAAGCCATTAAATTTAGAGGGAGCAGGGTTAGACCAGTGCTAGGCTCTCTGTCCTTCACTGTTCAAAGCTCCTCTGGTTATGAAGACTAGATCTTCTTTTGTCCTGTTTCAAAACATTACCAGCAATAGCCCACAAGGCAGCTCCCTTCACTGCCTCTGGACTTGCAGCCTCTAACATTGGTGATTCATTTTAAAGTTTTCTTTTAAGACTTGCTTCACACTCTACTTTTGAAAATGGTGTTGAGGAAAAGGAAAAAGGCAAACAAATGTGCAGAAGGGAGAAAGTTACAGTAGTGCCCTAATAGGATCAAAGTTGCTTCTCACCTTACGTGTTAATCTTCTCTTGATCTCCCTTTTTTCCTCCTGCTCCTCTTGCTCATTCCGGGCTGTAAAAGATTTACAAGTATCTCAGGTTGTGGACTCATCAGGCACACACAGTATGCAACAAAATAAGCCTCTCCATCAGCAAATTAATATTTCAGGACCTCTCTGATACACAGCATGTCCCTCTGGGGCTGGTGAACTTCCTTGATCCGCAGCTACTGCACTTCTTCATACACTTCGTAAAACATCTACAGCCACCTTCCTTCTCCTGTGCTGGCACTTCTTCATGTGTGTTGTTTTCTAGAAGGGCCAGGCAGTGAGCCAGCTCTTCAGAAACCCTTACCTCCCTGCCCAGGGGCCTCGTGCCCTCAGGGGGTTCAGCTACATGGTAGGATTCTGCAAGGCTGCAAGGTCAGTGGTTGGAAAAGAAACACATGCATGCTGCTTCTTTTTTTTTCTTTCTTTCTTTCTTTCTTTCTACAGAATAATTTCTCTGCAGCTATTCATTGGAGAGAATGGAGAAAAAAATAACCATAATAGGGGTGCCAGTCAGAATCTGCAACTTGTTGATGGCTGAATTGCCCCTTACTCCAATCACACCCGTGTATAACCGATGAGAGCAAACACAACTCATCAGCTTTTCCAACAAGCACCCTGTGCTGCTGGCGTGATCTCATTTTCACTCAAATAGGACTAGTTCAGGCAGGAATAACTCTCAGCAAGGGAGATCATGGACCTCAAAGGCCAGTTTGGGATAAGTGGCTTGATGTAAATTATCCAGTTTTGAGCTGAATTAAACCCAATAGGGAATCCCATGTTTCAATCCAGGCCATTCTATGATTCTCTCTGCTGATCCTGCGGGAGAAGCGGGCACAGATCACTAACCAACTGGGACAAGACAAAAATAATACAAGGAGGTCCTAACCTAATAGAAGTGCCCACAGTGGAGGAGATGCAACATTTCAAACCAATGCATTCAAAACTGGGGCTTTCCCCACACAGAAATCAGACCTAAGGTTCAGAGACCACAGAAGTCTGCGAGCAGATGAGGAGGGCTAGGCTGGAAGCCAGGTTTCTTCCTGCTCAGGACAGCAGGGCTGATAGATCTATCATAACTGCTCACTGACTT